AATGTGATTCAAGTTGAACATTTTAGAACAAACTCGTATGTATGGCAGTGGCTGAACGTGCAGGGGTGCTTATCGTTTGCTGCTTCCAGCAGTACAAACGCCGTCAGCGAGATACATCATTTTTATTTTTTTCTGTTTTTGGTTTTTCGTAATTACGAAAAAGCCTCTGAGAAGTGCAGAACCAAATAAAACGACGAAGAAAATTGATTCAAGTTGAACATTTGAAGGCAGATTTATCAAGCGGCTGTAGCTAAGTGTGCAGAGATGCTTGCTGTTATTTACTAAGTGATAATACACATTTTTGTTTTGTATTTCCGAATTATGAAAAAGCATCTGTGAAGTGCAGAACATAAGTGTATTCAAACGAAAAAATCGACAACCAAAAGTTTGGTTAATGTAAAGAAAAGTGTGATTAATATTACCAAATCAATGATGAAAAGATCAACCAAGGCATTGTTAATATTAACCAAAAATCACATTGAATCCTTTTCAGGCTTGAAGTTGGTAATATTAACAAATTTTTGGTTGATTTTTTTCATAGTGTGGAGTAATAAGCTTCTAATAATAAGTTCTAGCTGTCTGCTCTGAGTAACCAGGTAATTTAGGCCTGATTCTAGATCAACAGCTGTCGTGAAAAAGAAAGAAAGTATGGAAAAGGCATCGGTTGTTTTATCATTATGCAGTGGAACCATGGGAAGGATATGGGGATAGACCCAAAGATAGGCTCAAAGAGAGTTATTGACTCTACGGCACTACAGTTAGTTGAGCATAATTTGACGACCACAGGAACCTTACTGGACTTGGAGTCAAATGTTGCGTATTTTTGTAGCAGGAAAAAAGTGGTTGGGGAAGATTGCTTAGGCAAGTAACAGCTTCTCTTTCTACAACGTCTTTTTAACGAAGGTAAGTAAAGGGACACATGTGGCAACTAAACCCTTCAGGTCAATGGGCCTTCCGCTTTGCCTCGAAGTTTGCTTACCTGAAGGGCAAATGACGGAGATGGTACTCTTGCACAAAGTAGAGGCTTAACGGGAAAACAATCAATTTACGCTGGAAGCGTTTTTTTTTGTCGTTTGATAATGGACTTCGTTTTCGAATCATAACCGCGAACGCTTGGTGTACAGTCAGACAGGGGCACAGTGAGGGACGGTGTCTTCTCTTCCCTGTTATAGCTTTCTGCTATTAACTAAATTCTTCTCAAACTTAACAAGGAGAAGAGAGACATGGAAAAACTGGAAAGGCGCTTCAGTTACCCTTTCAAAAAGCAAAATATTTGTTATTAAATCTGGCTTCGTTTTTCCTAAAAATTTTTTCGATAAGAACTTCAATTTTAATGTTCCTTGTATGGAGCGTTGGAAAGACAGCGCTAGCTCAGGAAAAGATGGCTCGAGAATAACTTGCGCTGTTGAAGTGGAAGTCATTACTGCAACTCTCCGGAAGAGGAAGATGCAGAGGAACATCTTCGTTGAAGCCGTCATTCTTTCTGTATGGGCAGAAAAAGGTTTCTAGGCAAGCCTTCGCAGGTTCCACATAATTGAGGAACCCAAAGTCATTGCATTTACTTAAGCTCCTATACTCAACTGGGTGAATGTGACGTATTTTAATATAGAGTTGCTTTGCTTAAACACCACATATTTTGTGCTAAAATTTGTATACATACATTCAATACGAAATACCGAAGAGAAGGTTATGCTAGAACTTTACAAAAAAAAAATATGTAGAAATATGATAATCCAAAGAACGGCACACAAAAGTCAAAGCCACAATGCAATATATATATACATATTTTTCGAAAGTGTATTCCATTGTTGCCATCAACCAATAGCGGAAGTTTTTGAAAACTTTGCTGAATGGTTTACTTTGCGATGTCTCCTTTGCTTTTATAGATAGAACACATGCGGTAATAAGTTGAGTATTAGTTAAGTACGACGTAGTACATACTCCCAAAAATAAATACTTAGGTGTGCTTGAAAGGAACAAAATCGTACAGGGCTGCATGGATTGCGAGCTTTTAAACGTTTATGCGCAGGTATTTAGCTGCCAAGCCGGAAGCAGTTGACAATATCCTTAATGTGACAGTCACTTAGTTGAGTGGCCTTACAAAATGTTCGGATTAAAGATACAAAGCGAACGGCAAGAAAGTGAAAGAGAAATTTTTCAATGGAAAAAATGGTTGCTGACATATATGTATGTTTCTATCAAAATATGGTATTGCTTAGCTTCTGCTAATACAATCAACTATCTGTTAGTGTGCTTACTTATATATTACTCAGACAAGTAGATTATTATTAACCTATAAGAAGCCAGCTAAAGGACACATCCGACTAGAGTCCGTGCAACATCTTTCTGCAAGAATTCTTAAGAGCTCGCTTGGCTTAAAGTGTGCTGAAGTATGTTAGCATCGAGTTAATTGTGAAATACACGGATAATTGTTTCATTGAGACACAAATCCCTCTTTGTTGCTTGCAAATCTGCTTTTTCTAATTTTTTTAAGTCATCACGTACAAATGTGTGTTATTCACGTCTACCCATTGCGTGGCAGTGCTCAGTTCGTTTTTTTTTTCTTGTTGTACCTGCCTTTCAACACCCTATTGTAGTATTTTAATGTTGACAACCTCGTTAGTGCCTTCACTGTTGATAGCCGTTTTTTGTGTTGCACATAGCTGCTAGGAAAATATGTGTTTACAAATACATATATATCTATGTATAGACGCATACGAAAAGAAGACAATATTGGGACATTCCACACCGAACAGATTGCTACCGAAATTGTTAATAGGCAAGTACGTGCAATTATACCTACATATCGGAAACTAAAGAAATTAAAAAATAAAAAACGTCTGTAGGTGACTTTCCTTTATTAATGGTTAAGGGCTGAATCTTCAGAAAGAACTTTGAGTTTAAAATATAGTTCTGTTCATACAAACGGTTTAAAAAATATATGTGGAACTTCTCTAATGCAGGGAAATCATTAGTGAATTAAACATTTTTAATGGTGTGCATTAGGGTGCCCATCGAATTTTTTTTTATTTAAACACTGTAAAGCAGCCATGGCCAGCGCAGGCAGAACTTCATAATCAAGTGCAAAACTTTTGCTGGGCATGCCTGCTATAAAGTGTAAGCGCCAAATAAAAATTTTTTATTCTAAATCATTCCGTTTTGCATGGAATATATTCAATAAAAAAATGCCTTTATGATTACAACTTATTTTTTATGTTGTTGTGGCTTCTGCTTCGTTTGCTAGTATGTAGCAAGTGCAACGCGCAACGCTTAAAAATACATTGACACCTTTAAGTGTCTGTAAGTCATTAGATTTTAACATACAACGCCCTTGCATGTGTACATAACTACAAATATGTATACATATAGATGTAGTTGTTTTGTGGTCCTGCTGCTGCTGTTGGTGATTCGACTTCTCCCACTTGTATGATTTTTTATGTCTTAAGTAGAAAGATGTGTTTCTAGAGCAGGACTGTTTAAGATGATTGCTTCAAAGCTTTTCTGTTTACTGAAATGAAACCAATAATTAAGTAAGTAATACTTTAATTAAATAGTAAATGGTTCACATATGTATATTGCATTCACGTTTATAATAAAAAAATAAAATAAAAAATTTTTGTTTATTTTGATTTCCTTCTAAAAATTTTTCACACAAATGTAGCAGCACTTTCGTTATCATAAAGAACATAGAACATAGGCGAACCACAAACATAGCCAGCATTCTTATTTTCTATGAACTTTGGTTATGTTTTACTCTGACAAACTGGTACTTTCGCTATATTGCCGGCATCATTCATGTCAAAAATTTTATTCTAATGTTTTTATAATTTTTTGTTAAGTTTTTTTTTTTTTTAATGAAACGATTCTAGCTTGAATTTAGTGCAATTATAAAAAATATAAGCTGTTGATACAATGGCGAACATATAAATAGGGAAGCGACATTTTAGCATTCCTTGGTCATTCCCCTTTTTATATATAAAATTTTATTATTTCTTTATGAAAGTGTAGCTCGTTATATAACAAAACCCATTTAAGTCAAATTAGCGAAATTCGACAAAGTTTTATCAAAATTTCGAGCTTTTCAAATATATTTCTTAGCAACTTTCCGAGTATGCAGTTTTGTAGCCCATTCAATTCTAGTAAAACGAAGTGCAAAGTTGATAAATTTGTTTGTGGAAAGTGTGGGCCATTTTCGTCATACCAAAAAAAAACTGTCGAACATACTTTGTATGGAAGAAAATGCGCGAACAAAAAATTGCAAAAAAGCAACGGTAAGTCCAATCTACTTACCTACTACAAAATTGCATGCTCAAAAAATTCCAAAAATCCGATTAAAAAGTTTAAAATTTTGACCAACATTTGTCGAAATTCATCGAATTTTTGTAAATGCTCTACAAAGTTTGAAATCACTTGAAAACCTTTTCTCAAACATAGAAAAGTAGCCAAAACTTGCTAAGATATCTTTTCCCTATTTACATAGCCGCCACCGTATATATTGTGTGTATATATTTTTGAGATCACTATTCAAGTTTTTTCTCTTTGTTTTGTCTTAAATAAAAAATGGTATTAAAAGATGTTATTTCTTTTTATAAAAAAAAAAAAACAAAATTGTATTTTCGGATTCGATGCTTTAGCAGTGTGCCGATTTTGGTTCACAGAAATCTGGTCACCGTACGTATACGTATTGACTTCTGTCGCCTATCTGCTGCATACTTTCGTTAGCTATTTACCTTTAACTCAGCTTTAACTACACAAGTATAAACAACCTGTCTGTGAGCTACACAAAAACATATTTACTCTCAAGATTTATTTTGCAAAATCCTTTTTGAAAAATTACCTATTTTCTAACTATTAAACTAACACATCCGAGTACATAGATATGTACATGCATTTGTAATTGGAAAATATTTTTGATGCTCTGTAAATTTATTTAAAAGCAATAAATTCAATATTTACCAATAAAATATTCAATCAAAATATCTGTTATCATTTATTTGCAGCACCTCAGCAACAACCATAACAACAGAGAAGTGCCATATGAAGAAGGAATATACATGTGCATGTGGATAAAAAAGGATTGAATATAAATATAAGTGAATAGGTTGCAACATAACGAAATCTGTTAAAAAGTAGATAACTTTTAACAGTAAATTGTTGCCTAAGGCCAAAGAAGAAGTAGCATCGCTCGAAATCCTACATAAATTGGTTTATCTTTTGAAGTTTACAACACTAGTGCAGAGCGCTTCATCCTGCACATATTTGAATGTGTATACATATTTAAGTGTAAGTGTAAGTTCATACAGAAGTACATATCTACTAAGATTTGCATGGTGCGTTTAGCTAAACTAGCAAGCTCAAAGGCAGAAGTGTTGCTACTATAATAACATATATACAAAAGCGTGCACATCTACTTCGCTGTGGTTAATCGCATATGTACATACATACATACATACAAACGTACATACATGGCTATGCAAAGTAAAAATGATTAATGAGCCATAGGGCTAATGCGACATAAATCAAAAGAAAAGGGATACAACTTAAAACGCTAAAGCGGCACTAAATGCGTAAGCGCGCCACTACCGTACAGTCCACGGGGTGTGGGTGCGTATGAGCAACTTCAAATGCATACATATGTACATATGTACATACCCTGTGGGGAAAATCTCTAGGTCTGAACTGGTGCGCTTCGAGTATATCTAGACCCAGTACTGGTTCGCGATAAATCTTTTTGGCATGCAAACAACTGGCGAATTTAGCATGGCGATATCCTAGGAAGTGTCAATTGCCCACCGCTACATGCCTTTTTCGGTAGTTCCGAACTGGTCTTAAATTCTATAGTTCCGATCCAGTTCTAACATCGACTGACGAGAGAAAAAAGTATCATGATTTTTCAATCTTTTCGTGTTTTCCGTGTGTGCGATTTTAAATTATTTTCAAAGAAATGTTTTTTTTTTCAATTTGAAATTAAATTTGTTTGCATGATTGTAAGAAATGTACCTTTGGCTGTAGCTGACTTTACAGAGGTGCTTGCTGTTATTGTTGTTGGATTCCAAACGATCCCAGGATGTTAAAATGTTAATACTAACATTTGTTTGTATTACCAAACTATGAAAAACCATCTGCGAAGTGCAGAATAAAAGTGCATTTGAACGAAAAAGCCGCCGAACACATATCTATGTAAAGTAAACAAGCGCCCCGCTGCATCCCTTTTTCTCTAATTCCGCAGTAGTTCAAAGTTCGACAGATAAGATGTAGTTCGTTGTGCATCCCTTTTCATATAATTCCGAACCAGTTCTAAATTTTTCACCTTAGACATATATTTCTAATTAAAAAAGTGAAATAAATTCGGTTTTTTTTAAGTACCAGATTTCGCTGATTTTGAACTGGTGGGGATCTGGTTCGTTTTTGGCGATACAGATCTTCTACGGAACTAGAAATTTGATTCACTAGTCCGCAGTTTCCCTGCAGGGTATGTACATACATAGTATGCGTTGAATGCGCGTCGAGTGCCGAAAGTGTGCTTATCGCTTGATATTTAAGCAATTGTCGTGGTGTGAAGTTCATTTCAGAGCTGGGTGTTAGTTGTTTGTACATAACTAGCAACGTTGAGAATTTACTTATATTTTAGAAAAATGGCTGTCCTTTAAAATGTTTAGGCTATGATAAGCGCCAACTAAAAGGGGGATTAAATTTAAATTATTGTGATGTGTGATATGTGATAGTAATTTGTAGCTGAGAGTAAACTCCGTGAATTGCTTTTAAGTGAAGTTAAAGTTGTGATGCACTTTAAATGTCCTATGTTGAAATTGGCTACCAAAGTTTATTTATATTAAATTTTTCAAACAGGAGTTTTCAAATAAAGCGTCAAGGTAATGTTTTAATATGACAATGCCTTTTCAATATAGATTACTTCCTCACTCACGGTACGTAGCGAAAGAGAAGTTCCATCCCACTACTCTAAGCAAATGTGCTTATGTTGTGAACGCGGCCAGGGCTCATAAAAGCACGTCAGGTCTATATGAGCACCCTTCTCCCACCTTGATTTGATTTATAGAGCGTTACTCGCTCTTTGGTGATAGTGATAGTGGAATGGAATTGTTGTAGGTCGAAAAATCCACATCGATTTTCCAAGCACTCTGGCACGGTTGCCTGTTACCCTTCAACTGCAGAGAAAGTATATAACTTTCCAGAGAAGGCATACACTATTAGACGCCGATTAAGGCTATAATTATCATATAATGTTCCCCAGGATTGCGTCATATTACCAGTCCCATGAGGGATTTCGCCATTTGGCCTTTCAGAAAGTTCTATAACTGACTCATGGCTGTGAAAAACCGCAATTCACCAACTCATCAGTCAGTCCATTACCCTAAATACCACGGTGTACCCACATACATAATAATAATAATAGATTGGCTCTTACACATATGTTAGTGTTTGGCCGAGCTTCCCCTCCGATTTGTGGCGTGCGCCTTGATGTTGTCACACAAAGAGCAGGGACTTACAGTTTTACGCTGTTTTTCTTTGTAGAAATACACTCGGAGGTTTGCCATTGCCTGCCGACGGACGACCACTGTTAAGAAAAAACCTTTTTTCTAAATTTTTTTACGATGTTGCTTTGACCAGGGCTTGAACCCAGGCGCTGCGGCCGCCACTTACATACATAAGCTCAACTTAAACTTAAAGAGTATCGAGCTCTTTCTAAGGCAGTTATTCCAATGACAAATGTCCAATCGATTTCTTTCTTCACCGAGACTCAAATTTGAAAATAAATTTTTATTTGCAATTTTTATACAAAATTTAAAAAAATAATTATTTTTGATTTTATATTATATGTCTTAGATAACTGTTATTGAGAACGTTTACTTATAAAAGTCATCTACTTTTAAAAATCATCAATATAAATCAGTCACCGACTTTTATTTTTTAAATCGTTCGTATAAAAGTCATTAACATTTTTTGCAGTTAAGAAGGTATTGGGAAACAAAAGTTTACTACGACTTATACAAATGACTTTTATAAGTATGATTTAAAAAATAAAGGTCAGTGACTGATTTTTATTTATGACTATTATAAATAAAAGTCTTCGATAAGTGTTATCTAAGACATGAAACTTAAAAATCTGCAATTATTAAAAAAAAAAAATCGTTCTTTGAATTTATAAAATAAAAGTCAGAAATAATGGTTATTTAAGGTGTAATTAAATAAAGGTCAAAAAATAAATGTTAAAGGGCGATTTTTTTAAATAAAATTTGTAACTGTTACGGTCCCTGATATTAACTTACCCCGCTCAAAGCTTTTATTGGACTTCAATGATGTAACCCTTTGCCGTTGAGAGGAAATTATCCTCTTTGTGTACTCTTTCAAACTATATTTCTTTGAGCGTTTGTCGTGGTCGTTATCAAAAAAAAAAAGTTAGTCCGAGGTCACTTTAATTGCCCATGTGTTTTGCGTGGCAGGTTTCAAAGCCAAAATAAAGCAACCCGTTAATATAATGACAGGCTTGCTCTAAGATCGTTGCTTTCAGTTTATACTCAACTCACGTCGCCAATGTTGCACGAATGTGTATGTAAGAATATTATGTTAGCAAATAGTAACAGCGCAATAAACCTAATCCCTTATCACCAAATAAAAGGTCGTAAAGGCTTCACAGAATTTTACACAGCACAAATGAACTGCTCACAGAAGCCACATCAATTACCACACACCTCAGTCCAATTAATTATCCAACGAAGTTAGTAATTTAACAATTTCCACCAAAGCAGCTGTGAAAATTGAATTGAAAAATAAACGCCAATTTACAAAATCAACATTTGTGTATATGTATGTATGTGTATGTATGTACATATTTGTGTATGCTTATCGTGGGTGAATTATCTAAATTGATTTGTAGGTTTTCAATTTAAATGCCAGCGGCTGCAAGATAATAAAAAGTGTTAAATGCAATGAAATTTGTTTAGCAAAAAAAAAAACAAAAAGTAATAAGTAAAGCATAATCAACCAATACCAAAGCAAAATAACAAATTTATTTGGATAAAGTTTAAAATAAAAATAAATTGCAATTATTTGGTTTGTCTACAGTGAGGAATTGCAACAAAACTAAAAATTTATATTTGTGTAAAGTTTAAAGCCAACAAAATAATGCAAAAGTGTCTGGTATAAGTACGCACGTATGTATAGAATTTTGTGTATAACAACATATGTATAAGCACAATCATGTACTATGTATACTCGCTTAAGTAATTGTAAGCGTTTGTTGCATCAAAATAAATAGCAACCAACAAACCAGCGACACCTGGTTGCAAACAATTTGCATTAGCATATAGCGAAAAGTGTTAAAAAAAAACAAACAAAGTCTATGGTAAAACGGCCAGTAGTGAAAAAAAAAATCACCAGCAACAATTTACAATTTTGCAATTGATATCGCTTTGATGCCAATTAGTCAGTTTGCCGGCTAAAACGCTGCCTCACTGACTAACTAACTGCCTCTGTGCAGCCACTTTACATCGAAGGCAAATGAATAAAAAGCAACAACACAAACAACGTACGTTATTGGATTAAATAAAAGGCAGCAGCAACTTTAGTTTCAACATGGATTGCGTAGTTATCGCTAGGCCAACAACCGATTGGTGAGTACGCAAAACCTTTAAATTTACGTCGATTTAATTGTTTTCATAGCAATGAGGAACACTAAGCCACAAAAGTGTTAAGTTGAAAAACATTAATCTCCTCCGATACATGAAAGAAAGATCGAAAGGTTTTTGTAATATTATTTTAATTTGTGCAACTTCTAGCCCAGTAAAATGAGACTTTTTCTCAAGAAAAAAAAACTTGTAGTAACGAATTTGTGAAACAGTTTATTTCTATTTGACACGCAGAGCATGGGTCCACAGTCTTGGCCCTAAATTTCTTATGGGAACATTGCGCCATCTTGGATTTTATGTTTTAATTTACAAGCTTATTATGCATTTTTCGTAAAAAATGGTTATATAAAAATTTGTAGAGAATTTAATTTCCCACATTTTTTTATATATAAAATTACAAATAGAAAAATAATGTAAATAATTTGCCAAAACTGCAAACAAATTTTACATTGTCCCCGTCTTCGTCATTTTCTACAAAACTTTTGAACAAATATTTTTTTTTGTACCGGTACAGTACGATTGCTAAAGTTCTCGGACTACAAAGTTTATGGTCTTAAAATGATCGCATAGATATGCCTCATTGAAAATAGTGTAGGCTTTTGAAAAATTCGTCTCAAGTATGGCATCTAAACCAGGGACCGAACATAACAGTTATTAATGAAAACTGTCATTGAAAAATTCACTATGATGGAAATGTTCTACAACTAATTGATACACACCAATCGATTTCTTTTTGTCACCGAGACTCAAATTTGAAAATAAATTTTTATTTGAAATTTTTATACAAAATAAAAAAAAAACAACAATTATTTGTGATTTTTATATTATAAATCCAAAATAACTATTAGTTTTTATTTTTATATAATATGTCTTAGATAACAGTTATTGAAGACTGTTATTATTTATTTATAAAAAGTCATCATTCAAGCGAATCAAATCGATTTAATTTTTGCCGTATTGGGTCCGCCATTTTGAATTTTTCCAATCTGACTTAAGACTCTTAATAAGCAACCCCAAAAACCCCCGTTGAAAACGTTTCCAGAGAAAAGGATCGGCCCTAGGTTTTTTTTGTTGCCATATTAGGTCCGCCATTTTGAATTTTCCAACATGACCTCAGATTCGTAATAAGCGGCCCAAGAATCCCGGTGGAAAACGTTTCAAGCGAATCGAATTGATTTAAGTATTTTGGCCTTCTTGATGCGAAACCTCTGCTTGAAAAATGATGAATAAGCTCCACATAGATAAAGATTTTATTTAGTTATGCCAGAAATGGAGGATAAAAGCTTTTTCAGATTTTTAAAAGGATATAGTGAAAAGCTTTTTGGGCAACACCTTGAACAAAAAAATTGCCAAAAATCAGCGCTAAGTGCTAGCTTCTTTAAACTTCCATTTTATTATAGTATAGGGTGGGCCAAATAAGAGCTACCAATCATAGTATAAAAAAAATTACAAGGCTATGTTTGGTATGATAGACAGTCCTTACTTGACATCACATAGGCTGTGTAGACCGCAGCATTCTGTTGCGTAGCCTATCTCATTCTCCATATCATAATTGCCATATCTCCTACTCTTCACAAGACCCAATTTAAAGGAATGAGCTGAACCTGAGAAGTCGCCTATCTGCATTAGCTCTTATCTATCTTTTTAATATAGCTAAAATAAAAATGTACAAACAAATGCACGAATTTATCATTCCAATATTAAAATAATGTGAATTACAACAACAATACTATAAGACTTACGAAACACACCTCAAAAAGTTTGGATTTAATCTCTCGCGCAATTTTTAATTGAAAACCGAAACCAAGCCAAGTGCAATCATAGAAATTGGCAAATCATTTTTATTTTATTGGCCTTTAGCGAGTTTATTACTTTATTGCTCTAGTGTTTTTGCATGTCATTTTCCACTCGTACTACGAGTATCTCATGTTCATTGTAAAATTGCAAATATTTTCGCAATCAGTGTTGTTTTTCTGTTAGCTTTTATGCATGTTTTTCTTTTGCCCATAAAAGAACGTACATCATACATTATTTATGTGTGTAGAAGTATACAAAGTCTTTTGCTGATTCGATACTTACGAGTACAAAGAAAACCCTCGAAATTTATTTTGATTGACTTGAAGAGACAGGCAGTCACCACTTCAGAAAAGATTTCTTATAAATACTTACCTGCATATTTATGTACGTATTTTTGTATGTATATACTAGTTTGTATGCAGTAAAATAAAGTGTTCCTAACACAAGTAAGAAATTGTTTACAAACATTTTTTTGGTGGGAATTAAGAAACGAATTTTAAGTTGCACGTTGCTTACAAAGTAAAGTTCAACAGGTATATCAGTGAAGTACACGGGTTTGGATGTCAATATGTCATCGATTAGGACTAAAAGGTCATACTTATTATGAGATTAGAGGTAGGTAGATACTATAAAAAATGCGTTTGTGAAACCTCATCTAGAAACATATATTCATATATGAGGCCATGAACGCCAGTGGAGCCTATCTTCACAAAATTTTTTTGATTAATATAAGAAAGACGGATCTATAGCAAAAGGAAAATAACAGGACGTCCCTCAAGCTATTACCGTTTCCAATCTGGTAATGAATTTTAAGCTGTACCTAATTTTTTATTGTATATAGTCCGCTGTTGTTGATGCACACCCCAAATTGGAGGAGAAGCTCGACACATAGCAAACTTGTAAGATTTATTGATAACTAGAAGTGCCAGTTACTGTCGAAATTTGACAATATTTCTATATTTTTAATACCTTTGAAGAAGTTTTCTAATTGAGTAATGCTCAATGAGCATGTCGTTTAACTTATAAGGTACAAACTAACTTAGCGGAAAATCTTCTGCTTTGGAACTAAAACGTGACTACAATTTCAGTATTCACTACTGGGAAAAATATAGTTATCGTTTGACAAGACAGTCCTTTCTCTAGTTTCCCGAGTTTTAGTAGTAGGACCGGCCTTTCACTAGAAGTGGCTAAGGACGGACTAAGGATCTTAGTTGTGTATTCTACTCTCTCCAGACGCAATGTTTTGGCTTTGAAGGCTTTCACCTTTTCGTATCCACCTGAACTGGCGTATTTCTCTGCGCTGGTGTAGATGATTGCGCTCATTTGCTGGTACAGCGACTGCGGTCGGAAAATAGGGGCGCAGCTGCGTTATTCACTCGGAAGGTAAGAACCGAGTCGAAGCCGGCATTCGTTCCTCATTATGGATGTCTCTCAAACCTATATATAAAAAAATAACAGTGTTTTTGAGTTTTTCTTATATTAAAACCTTCTATATCTTGCCAGACATTGTTCAGTCCTGCTTTAATGCCAGTCAGACGTTTTAAAAGTAAAATGCGCAAATTAAATGCACTGCTATGGAATTTCAAGGCACACAATATCAACATTGCAAGTGACAGCGATTAGCATTCAAATGATTCTGTCTCTTTCTTCTGCAGCGAGTTTAAGGAAACGACGCCTCAAATAAAACTAACAAATCCGTAATTGCTTGAGTAGATCACAATCTCACAAACGAAATGCCTACATTTGTACATACCTCGAAACACTTAAGTCTATTGTACACACGAATGTAGTATACATCTTAATTTAAGCTTTAGCCAAATTAGCATTTAAAGTGGTTAGCGGTTTTTGTGTTGCTGACTTTGTTTTCTATGCTTTCTTTCTATAGACTGCTGCATTTTTTATCTCGTTTTTCATGGTTGAAGTGACAGCCAAAATTAGATGCGTTTTGGCTGGAACATTTGGCGCTCAAATGCTTTTTTTTCATTCACAATAGATGGAGTGTCGAGCCAAAGCAGCCATTATTGGTATTTAAGTGTTGCCAAAGGCTGGTTTTTCATTGTTTGCTTGTCTGTAGGGATTACGCAATGCTAGATAAAAAGCGTATTTCTTTAAAAAAAAGAAGCGTCTTTCTTTGGAAATACTTACGTAATTTTACAACGAACATAAATACGAAAGTAATTTGGTTTCGAAAGTAGAAGGGGGTTTGCATGTCGAATGGGATAGGTATGTACTTGTATTTTCATACCGTCGTTTAGAGTACAAACCGCGTGTCAAGATAATGCAAAACCTCGAAGCAATCCCATTTCAGACTAGTTTTATAAATCGAAATTTTGGTACGAATGAGCTTTCGGTGAGCCTATCTCATTTTTGGCTCAAATGTCTGTTAAACGGTTTTGCAGAATGACGATATGCGGTTTTGTACTTTAAACGACGATATATTTATGCACAACTAATTATACGGTGTTTACATGAGAGTATTTTAGATGAGCTTCAGAGGCGATTAGTTGAACCAAAATTTTGTTGCCTCCAACTTAATTGGATGGGATTATTTGAAAGGCCATTCACATCAGGCCATTGTTGCTTTCAACTAAAAGTTTCCTGTAAAATCGCCTCATGTAAACACCCTATTACTACAATCCTCTTAATATGCATTTGATTGAAGGCACTTTTTAAATGCTTATAAGCTAATGCTGACGACGAAGTGAATAGTATACGGTAGATGGCGCTATAGTCGAGGTATCTGTAAAAAGCTTATTTGCAACCTGATTGAAAAATTCATTATGAGGGAAATGTTCTGCAACTAAGTGATACATACCAATCGATTTCTTTTTTTACCGAAAATAAAATTTGAAAACAAATTTTTACTTGTACTTTGTATGCAAAATTAAAAAAACTTAAAATTAGTTTTGATTTTTATTCTACAAATCCAAAATAACAATTATTTTTGATATTTATATAAACAATCTGTAGATAACAGTTATTTTTGAATTTTGTATTATACGTCTTAAATAACAGTTATTGCAGACTTTTAGATATAAAAAAATCATCAACAAAAATCAATCACCTACTTTTATTTTTTAAATCATACGCATGAAAGTCATTATAATTTTTCGCAGTTAAGAAGGTGTTAGTGAACCAAAATTTACTACGACTTGTACAAATGACTTTTATAAGTATGATTTTAA